ATCATAGCATCAAATTTTTTTAAGATGGCCTCCACCTCCCTCTGAAGTCTCATTGTACGTATCTGACGAAGGAAAGACACGGTAGTGGAAGCACTTCACAGAATCATATCGTTCCAAAGACTAAAGCATTCCATTCAGTTTCGGACCAGATAGGGCATTATGTGCCATCAGTTCTTTTGAATTCCACGCTCTTAGATGCTGGTCCATCATGTAACCTAGATGATGATGAAACAAACTGTTGCGGTCAATGGGACGACAATGATGACAATCACGTGGAGTATGAAGGTGGGGATGATGAAAACCACAATACGGAGTTCGATAACGATATGAGAACCATGATAATGAGTTAGAGAACGATGCTGATATTGAGAACGAACATGAAGTAGACCTCGAGGATGTAGCTGCTCCATCTTTGGACCCCTTGATCGAAGTGCACATGGTTAGTACGAATGCACCGTGTGAAACTGGTCAAGCTTCTTGCTCAAGGGTACTCACTCGGATAGGTGAGGATAATGAAGTTGGTCTGTCAACTGAGGACATTGCGGTAGGGACTACCTTTCGATCAAAAGAAGAATTACAGTTCAAACTATCTGTGTTTGCAATGAGATTGAATTTTGAATATCGTGTGAAGAAATCTAATAAGAGCTTGTATACTGTTGGATGCTTGGAGGATGGATGCAAATGGAACCTACGTGCAAGGACGATTAAAGGTTCGGATACTTTCCTTATCTCTACGTTTCATGAGTTGCATAGTTGCACACGTGAGGTGATGATACATGACCACCGACAAGCTCGTAGTCATGTCGTGGGTCAGCTCATAAAATCCAACCTCGAGGATGTAAGTCGTTGTTATCGTCCAAATGATATCGTTAATGACATGTAGAAAAATTATGACGTAAAAATCCGATATGAAAAGGCTTGGCGTGCGAGAGAAAGAGCATTAGACCTACTAATGAGATCGCTGAAGGAGTCCTATACGCTCCTGCGTAAATATGACGAGACGTTGAAATTGGTGAACCCGAGCACGGTTTTTTCCATGAAGCTAGAAGATGATAAATACTTTCAGTATGCATTCATAGCTCTGGACTGCTTAATAAGAGGCTTTAGAAGTTGCATTCGATTTGTGCTTGTCATTGACGGTGCACATCTGAAGAGAAAGTATAAAGGTGTGATACTTATAGCCTCTTCTATCGATGAGAATAATCAGATATATCCACTAGCATTTGGAATTGTAGACAAGGGAACGGACAACTCATGAACTTGGTTTTTGGAGCATGTGAAGATTTGTATTGGACACATTAATGGATTGGTTTTTGTGTCCCACCGACACCAAACCATTAATCACTCTGTAGCTGCTGTCTTCCTCAACACGAAACATGTTACATGCATGCATCATATAAAGATGAACTTGAACGATAAGTTCAAGTGTAGGATCGAAGATGTGGAGGGGCTGTACATTCAAGCAGCTAAGGCGTTCAAGAAGTCTACGTTCAAGTATTACTGGAACCAACTATGCTGGAAATATTCTTAAGGAAGCTGTAAAGCAGGCCCGACGACATCTCGTTAAACCTATCGACAAATTTGAGTACGAGGTACACGACGATAGTAGTAAAGTGCGTGTCAATCTAAACATTAAGACTTGTATGTGCAAGCAGTTTGACTACTACTAGATTCCATGCTCACTTGCAGTGGTCATGCATCGTAATGTCAATATATACACATTATGTTCGTCAAAGTATAAACTGGAGACCCTTATTACTACCTATTCCGAGTCAATATTTCCGTTAGGTGATGAGGAGGATTTAGTTTTTACCGAATGACTTTATTGAATTCACCATCAAGTCTAGTTCGTTCTGAGAGTAAGGCAGAGACAAACCGTACGAATACCATTTAACGGGGAGCCTCAACAAATACACAAGTGCAGTAGGTGTGGAATGTAGGGTCACAATAGAAAAACTTATCGTCAATCGCTGCGAACGACTAAGATTAGATGCATACCTATATGTGTAGTTTAAACTTGGATTATATGCATTAGTCTGTTGAAAAGTATGTGTCTCTTATGAACGACTGAGAATTATATGCATTAGTATGTTGAAAAGTATGTGTCCCTCATGAACGACTAAAAATTAAATGCACGTGTTGAGAATTTTCTGTGTGCAGGCGTGGATGCATCATCTAGTTTTGCCGAAAATACAAGGGGGGTGTTATAACTCTGGTGATTTTCTCGGGCGAAACATCAACAACTTCGAGCGTGAAATATCTGATGTGTAACTTTGAGTCAGTATAGTTTTCCAGCCGTGAAGACACAGTGTCTCGCCCGTTAAATTATACAGAATATGTCCATGAATTTGATCTTTCTCTTGGACGAGATCAGGATTATCACGGTCGAGAAATATCATCGAGAGTGGTAGTTCAAGAGGAAATTTTTGTTGGTCTATTTTGTAACCCCTTGTTTTCAAAGAATTACATTGATTAATATCATACCTTACATATATTTTGCATTTGCCATTGCAAATTAATTGGTAGTTGAAGTGGAAATTTTTATAAACTGTTTGACATAACTTAAATGTACAAATACAATGAATAATCAAAATACAAAAACTAGCAGTCTGGAAAAATACAACGACTATTCAAAAAATACACTTGTTCTCCCAAACTTCAACGGCCAGTTTCTCCCTAAAAAATGGGATCCTATCTTGAGTTAATGTTGCTAGATTTGATCCTGTTATATCATATTCAAAATATTCTATGCAGAATATACCACAATCACTCGAACTAGTTTGCTGCGAAACCCCGGTTACTCGACGGATGCGCCATGGTACAATAGGTAAGGTTCGCTTAACTACACTAACTCTGGCCCTACACATCAACGTCGGGAGGATGACGCTAATCGGCTTCAACTCGTCCTCTAGAATAGGTGGTGGTATGATCGCCATCAGGGAATCCCACACAATGATCTCACCCTCCTGCATGTCGACGCACACCATGATCCAATGGTTTCCACCGATGTTGTATGACAAGTACACAGTGTCGGGTTCTAGCCACTGTGTCCCATAGCTCGTGTAAGTCCTGTCGACATAGCTGAGCACCGTTTTATACTTGCCCTCCCAATCGTATTCTGCTGACACTGTTGCTGGAATGACGTTTGGAGCTATTAAGCGTTGGTATATACCATCCGTCCGTCGGAAGAAGTTCTACAGTTGACAATACAACACATCAAAAAGATTATTAAACCCAATAAAACTACATGATAATAGATCATACCGCAAGCACTATGTCACCGTGAACCTCCGAGAACACAAGTCCGGACGCTGCTCCAACTTGTTGCGCATGAATATTACCAATGAATCAACCACCTGTATGCACCGATATTATTATAGACATGCGTACGAAAAATTAAAGAGATATGAGGGTGAACATGACCAATCAATCCCGTACCTCACTGGTCAACAACTTGTCTGTGGTTAAAAGGTCACGAAACCACGTCCTGTCCTTATTATCGTAGCACGATTTTCGAGTCGCATGTTTTGTGGTAGGGTTGTTCATCCATGCACGAAACTTGGTGACCTCCTCAGAGGGGAGTCGTATAAGTGGATCATACCTGAGCACCTTCTTCTTCTTACTGTTCTCCATTACTATGAATGATCCGTAGAGCTTCCACGATACGTTCCTCTTACGAGATCCTCGTCGGGGCTTTGGCGGATCTATTGGCTGCGATAACACACAAACCTCGTTCATGTCCCTGTGTGACGTACCAGACATATCCGCAGCTGTCTGTGATTTAACATCTCTCCCTTCTTCCACTTCAGAGTCGGAGAAATCGTCCGCACAATGTTCCTAGAGTGTTATTGTTAGAATAATAAATATTTGCTTACTAGGATGACGGTAAAACCAGCTACATACCTTGTTTGTGGATGGATAGATCTGTTGCGAGGCAATCATAATATGCTCTATCGGTGTTGCATCCACGTCTTCTTAAACATTCTCTGTGGCAGCTTCATTTAACGACAAGCTCTGTGCATGTTGCTGCAAAAAAAATGACATATGCAACCTTAGTCATCACTAATTTGGAGATTGAATACGTATAATGACGTAACACATACGTATTGATCGTTCAGGCGTCTGAAGTTTTACTACGTTGGGTTCGAGGATGGACCAGTCGCGATCACTATAAAGCGCTTTGTTGTCAAGGACAACGACCTCGTCACCATGTTCCTGCATTACCAAATTAGTAGCATCCAACGGTACTTCGTTAAATGATCCCAGGGCGAAGTATATCAAACGTACCTTCACAGGATCTATGTCCATCCCATCCTCGACGTCACCAACATCTACCTTCACAACATCAACCAGCTAGGTAACATCTACCAGCTCGGTAACAACTCCCATCCTAGCACAATCTCCCGCTGGGGTATTGCATCCCAGC